TGTTTCTTACCTTATTTCCCCCTTCTCCTACACACCTTTTTCTTCTTAGTTATTTTTTTATTTTGAAATTACCTTTTCCATGGCTAACCTCATAGTTGAGCCTGGCATATCTGAATCTCTTTTGGCAAATTAATTTTGCATTAACCTCTTCTTGCTCTTGCATCTCTTTCATATTTCATTAAACATTTGCTTCAGGTTAAAAATTTGAGAAGAAATGTTAAACATCTGAGTGCAAAACCTTCCTTCTAGAGCTTCAGGGCAGGGTTTCAGGGATGAGGCACAAGGGACAGGTTTGCAGAAGCCTTCACAGTCAACCACACCATGGGAACAGTGAGAAATGCTCATCTCCCAGGGAACATGGGCAGAGGTAAACCTGGTGAATCTGGATTCTAGGGCATCTAGGGTTAGAAACATCTTCTCTTTAGAAAGGAGGAATTGTTATTACTGTAGCACTTTCATGTACTGACTAGGAAACAAGAGATCACTCCAAGCATTTCAATGTGCAGACTCTATTTCTGCATGACATTAAATACAAGTAGAGTTTATTAGAATAAATAATGTGGGTGCCATGACTAGTCATGTAGAACAGATTAAAAACTTTTCAAAATTTCTTTCTTACTGTTTTAGAAGCTCTTTGATTATTTCTGCAACATCTGGCAAGATGACAAGGGTTGTTGCTACAAATGTCACAGAGCAATAGCAGTGACTGCCCTTCCTTTGACAGATTGGCCCTTCCTTTATGTTCTAAGTGCCCAAAGCATGTGAAGGACTAAACAGCTGGGAGACATGGCATTTCAGGGAGCAAGGAAGAGAAGAGAAATGCAGTATTAGTGGGAGGTGGAGGTTTTCACCAATCCCAGCAAAGGTGAGCAGCAGCAGGCATTTCCTTATCCCTGAGAGAGGAACCGGGGACACTGAGTGGATGAACTTTGTAGGGCCTGAGGGTCACTCACTGCAACCCAGCATGCAGGGTGAGACCCAAGGGGAGGCAGAGGTGGGCAGGAATAGCTCAGCAGCTGCTGCAGGAGAAGGGCAGGTGGCAGAGCTGCTTGGAAGAGACCAGGGCTGCCACTCCACATGGCTGGCAGCCACCAGCGTTCGCTGGAGCAAGAGCAGCACTGGCTGCTGGCACGGGGCTGTCCAAGGTCTCAGGGAAGGCTGAAGTGAGGACAGGGCTTGGGCAGCTTTGGCAGAGTGGCAAACCAGATCTTATGGCACCTCTCTGATGTGTGGGGGGTCACTGGGCTCGGGCAGGGGTGGCAGGCAGCCGGGGCTCCCGTGCCAGGTGGCCGATGGCACACGTTCCCTCATGGGCTCTGGCAGGCGGCGCGGGCAGCTGGTGAGCATGGGCTGCCCGAGGGCTCCCAGGCAGCAGCAGGAGGCAGCCAGGCTGCCAGCCAAGTCTGGAGATGGCAGGCTCCTGGCCCTGACAGGAGAACACAGTCTAACTGGTAGAGACACTCGAAGGACCACAACAACTTGCTTGGGAAGAACTGGACTGTGAGCAGGGCAAGTCTGTTAGTGTCCATATCAGGTGTCTATCAGAAAGTCTGGCAGTGTTCAAATCAAGGCCTTATGTCTGAGGCCAAAGTCTTGGAAACAAACCTGGTCTATTAGGCTAAACTTTGAAAGCTTTTGGAGGCATTTTTTTCCACCCGAGTCAGTGTGATGATATCTTAACATGAAACTAGCTGGGACTTTGGAAGAAGAGCTGCACTGTTCATATCTTGTCAAAAGCAATGTGTGTGGGATGTATATGCATCCCAAAAATACAGATATCTATAGCTGTGCATGTGTATACACAGGCATATATGCATATCTATGTAATCCCCTGTTCAGTGCATCAGGAGAATGGCTGCTCAGAACTGAACTGGCTCCTGTTGCTCACACCATGGCCAGGCACCGAGGAGATCACTCTGAAGTAAATATGATCCAGCAAGACATAAAAGTTGTGTTTGCAACCCTGCTGACTTCAGTAGAACCTACCCACAAGCTGAAATGCTCACATATGCTTGAATGCTGTTGTTGAATAAGAATGAGCTGAAATTCACACATTAAATTAGACCATACTTAGCTGCTGCCACATGTAGGAGACGCTTCCAAAACTTTGGATGACAAAGGAGGCTGTGAGGAGAAGACAGGGGGATGCCATTAACTATTTACTTCCTGTAAAAAGGGACTTGCCCTTGGGGAAATAAGGAAAATGGCAAGGTGAGGATCCTAAGGGGAGGCCAGACTTGCTAGCCACAGAAATATATGCTGTTAAAAACAAGGCACAGGTAACTTGGGAGTGAGGCTCACAGCAGGGAACTGTGAGGGGATGATCTGGAACTGATCATCCAGACGGTCACTGAGGTTCTTATGAAGCCTGGGGATTTGTAGTCCCATACTTTGGTCATGCAAAAAATACATACAATTCACTTACTTCTTTGGTGAAAGAGACAGTTTTTCTTAATTCTAAAGGATAAATTAGAAGAAAATGAAAATGAAGAAGAATTGTCTGGTTGTTTTTTTTTTTTTTTTCTGATTGGACTGTAAGGAAGACATACTTGAGTCTTTAAGATACCTTTGAGAGTTTTGCTTCTCATGATTTTAAGAATTTTCTTCATTTCAAGAACTGGCACTCAGTTCTGGTGTCTGGTATTATTTACAGTGTCTATTCTGTTTTCACAAATTTATGGAAGACTTGATGGATACTTAAGTAAAATGATACAGATGCAAAGAAAGCTACCTGTTCTCACAGAAGTGTTGCTTTCAACGTTGCTGTTTCAAGAAGATCAAGTCCTTGTGCAATCTACATACACAGTGAGTCACAGCTGAACTTCCACACTGTTCTGCTGTGTTTGCTACAGGCTTTACAAATAAGCCAAAAGGGCCACACTTCAAAGCCTTTCAAAACTGGAAAACTAAGTTTGTAACTCCTTTGCATTGCTTCTTTTCTCTTCCTTTTTGTTCCTTCTTGTCTGTCAGTCTCTGCAGTCACCATTATATCATTCAGTGAGTGGGGAACGATATTGTTTATTTCTTCTTTGCAAAAGTTTCTGGAAAACTTTGCTTGCTCTTCTTCTTTGTCACATATTTTTTCTTTATAACATTTTTTCTTGTTACCTGAGAGCTGTTATAGAGAATAGGTATTTTAATTTGCATTCCTGACACATAAGTTATTCCTCTAAAAGTGTTTGTGCTGCAGAGCATCATAGAATTCCCTGTGATGAGTCTCCCTTCTGGCAGGATCCAAGCTTCCAAATACTCTCACAAAACCAGAAGGCTGCAAGCTGGTCTCTTGGCTGCCATATATCTCAGGATCTTGAAGCCAAGCCTTCAGGTCTTTTTCTGGTGAAGTTACAAGGAGAGACAGAACCATTTTTCTTCTAAAGGTCCTGCTCAGGCTGCGTGCAATGAGTTTCATGCAGTGAGATCCCTGTGTGTGCAGTGAGTGACTGAATTTGGTGAGTTCCTGATAAAACCCAAAGGAGTTAGCCTGGAGAGTTCTTTTTGTGAAGAAATGGCCAGAGACACTTCTCAGTGTAGCATTTTAGCTATGATGGCAATTTATTTAGAAACAGAAGACATCTTAATAATCACTATTTGCCTAGATATTGTAGAAAGAGGCAGGCGATGCTGGTGACTCACAATTTGTTGTAGTTTCTGATTTCTCCAAGTTTCACAAAGGCCTCTCTTACTGTTCTTCGTTACCAATCTAAACAAAGTGACAAAAATATAAATTGTATGGTAAAATAAACGGTGGCCTAAAACTTACTAGGATATACATGCCTACTTAATTTTATATGCACCAAGGGTCATTGTAATGATTACTTACAGCATATTAACTTTATCATGTGCATAATTGTTCCCAGGATCAGTGGAGAACAGGTCATCTTTCAGTATACAGGAAGCTTAATGGGAGACAAAAAGTTAAAGTCTTAGATCTGAATTGCTCTAAAATATGGGATTTCAGAATATGTATCTAAGGGTTTGCAGATTACCAATACTATTTTTTCTCTGTAAACTTCAGCAGAAAATTCTAGCTAACCATTTTAATACATTGGCTTACTCAGTGTTACTTTATGCAACAATCTGCTCTACCTAAGCATATTTTACATTAGAGAAGGGAATGACTTTTATAAGGAGAAAAAGTTATTTGGGGACATAAAGTTATCAATTAAACAAGGTTCAGATTCTTGAGTGGGAAGATAGTAGGGAATTAATAGATCTTTATGAAAAGAATATCCTCTGGTTTTCATCTTACATAATTTTTTGTTATTTTTACATCTCAACCCATTTTGAAGGAAAATAAAAGCAAAGACCTAGAAGAACAGCATCAACTTTCTGTCATTTCATGAAAGAAACACCACTTTTCTGTTCATTTCTTTTATAAATTTGACCGAGTATTATTCTTATTCTTTTCAAATCCTGCATTCTATTTCATTTGAAAGAAACTTTTAACAGCATCTGAAAAATCATAGTGAGAAATACCTTTTTACAGAGAACTTTGTAAACACTTTATTTATACCTCTAAGGGGCAAACTGAGCTGATAGTTTCCATGCCTGACATGCCTGTGATGAGATGACTGGCAGCAGCTGTTGAAGTGGGAAAGGGTTTTATCAGAGGCTGCTTCCCTCGGAGCTGCCAGGCTTCATCTGCTTCCTGGCATGCAGGAGGGTCCCGCAGCTCTGGGTGTTCAGAGTGGATTGGCAGCGGGATGGGCCAGGAAACTTGCAAGTGGAAGAAAGGTTGTCTTGGTTTGTTTTCTGGACTTATGCGTAAATGAACTATCCTTTTTTTTTCTTTCCTGATGAATGTATAGGCAATAACTTTGATTTTTTTTTTAAAGGCTTATTAATATAATTCCTATGGAAAATGAGAGTTTGAGGCTTTTCCTTGAATTTTCATGCCTGTGTTTGTTTTTTGTTTGTTTTTTTTTTTAATTTTTGGTGGTTTTTTGCTTCAAAGGTAAATTACCTGCTCAACTGTTTCCTTTTGACTTTTGTTTTGACAGACTGTTACATCTCTCACTGTTACACCCATTCACTTTTCTCCTGCATTTTGATGGCATATGAGATTTGGAGATTTTGGAGAAGGGGCAGAAGAAGAAAGAGGTGAGAGAGGTCACACCATCATTTTCTAGAAATAAGGTATTTCCATGATAAGGGAATGCTTTAAAACACCTAATTATTTCAGTACAAAAATGGAGTAATAGTCTCATAAAGAAATAAATGGGTAAAATTACTTTTCTAGGGCTTTAGAGAGGTAACTATTGGAACCTGCATTTGAATTCATGAGCACTGAACCAGAATCTATTCCAGCTCTACCTGCCTCTAAAAATGAAGTTTACCTTGCTGAAAGTCAGTGTCCCCCATTGTCCATTGACAAAGGCTATAGTGTTAATTAGTGATTCCATGCAGCTGAGTATGACTCTAGGAAATTCAGAGTTCTCTGAAACCTAGTGGAGGCCTCTGTGCTTATATTTTGATGCAGAGCCATAATATCTGAGGTATGGACATAGCCTACTTTCCCAAAAGAAGTCTCCAGGATTTTAATGCATATGTGCTTAAATATTTTGAACTGAATGCAAATGAATGTAAAAATGCATGTACCAGTACCAAGGCACAACTTTTGACAGAGCTTTAACTAAAGTTAATCATCTGGAGGTTACTGTAACTGGAAAAAAAAAAGAAATAGGAATAAAGAAGCTGCAAAGATGGTGGCAAAGGGGAAAACACTGATAAGGGATTCATTTAGTCAGAAGAAAGTATGGGAGCAAGGAGACTACTTGAGGCAACTATGCTATAAGAGCAAATTGGCAAAGGAACCTCATGTTAGGCAGCTGAATGAGCAAATATGAGAAAGGAGATTATGGTCTTTCCATTTGATTACAAGGTCAGAAGTACCTATGGGAAGGAGTGGCTGGGTTACCGAAAGGATTTAGAAGGAAACTGTCCACAAGGTTGTCCAGGCAAAGAGTGCAGTGGACAACAGGGATATAGCTGGAAGGTTATAATGTATGGTTTTTATTATCATCCTATTATTGATCATGATAGAATATTTCATGGAGATAATTAAACAAACTAAGAAGCATGGGACAGGAATTACTTAAATCTGGGTTTATTTTGTATGGAAAGTGGGTACAGGGGGACATATGTCAATAGCAAAAGTGAGTAAAATGAGGATTAGTGGCAACATGTTTCACAATGATGCTATTGCCAAGTCTCATCAGGGAACTGTTGATGAAATCCATATTCCCAGAAGGATCTAGATCAGTCAAAAATAGGTGAGGCAACTGTAAAAGCAAGGCAGGACTTCATTGTGTCGGGAATACAACCTGAGGTAGCTCTGGGTGGGAGCCTGAGACAAGAGGCTGTGAACTGCACAGCAAAGGGCACAGGGACCTGTGGCACAGCCAGGTGAGGGACACTGAGACATGGCAGGAGCTGATGGGTCCGGAGGAAGAGACTTTGGTGCTCTTGGACTGTGAGGGGATAAGAGCCCAGGGGTTCCTTAGCTCAGGGTCCCTCCTTGGAGGCACCAGCTCAGGCTGTCTGTGTGTTACTGCACTGTGGGTAAATGGCTTTATGGAATGAAACATCTGAGATTCTGCTATGGAAACCCTGGGACTGAGCTGGTGAGGAAACCTGGTCTGACTGTGAGAGGTGTGCAGGGAGTCAGGCAGGGACCTGTCAGGTCACTGGAGCCACCCCTGTGAAGGGATGACAGCCCCAGCAGTGACAGTCTGTGACATTGGGGGTGTGGCTGGTGGAGAGTCTGGTGAATGATCTCTCTGGGAAATTTCCTTAACAATAGGAAAGAGATACCTGGTACTGAGAAACTCTTAGAAAATCCCTGCAGACAATCTAACTGAGATGTTAATTTTCCTTCCAAGAGCCCCAGGCTTGTCATTGCCATTAGGGGAGTGCTGGAGTGCAACGTTCAGGCAGGTTGCTGAGATTATCTGCTTTGCTAGCCAAAATACAAAGAAGCAGAACAACAATTTTGTGTGTGTGTTATCACTACTCATAAGGTTATTACAAAGAAACAAAGGAATGATAGAGAATAGAATGCACACTGTTGCTTAGGAAAAAAAAAATCACATTAATTAAATGTGTGTAAGGAATATGAAACCCGAACTGATATGGCAACTCTTTTAGCTGGGACCTGAAACATGAAACGTGAATATGAAGCTTTCTAAGTGATCACAAATATAAGAGGGGAGGTTTAATTTCTGTGCACTGCAGATATTGACAGACAGCACAGGAGTTCAAATCTCAGGCTTAAAAAGTCACTTTCTCCTAGATGGATGTTACTTGAATTCTGACAGTGCTGGCAATGTTCTCTCTCCTCTTACACACTTATAAGCTCTGTATGGCTTGTCAAGCCAATAAAGTCTCACTGAACTGAGACTGCTTTCTAATTATGGTATATGACAATACCTGTGGAAACTCATTGCCTTCAATAAAATTGCAGAGGTGGAACTGATTGGAAGTTAGTGAGAGATCTGGTAAACAATGCTCAAGAAGGAATAGGATTCAGTGTTCTCACTCTTAGTTCAGTTGTTTGCACAGAGCTAATGAGAACAAAATCTAGTAAAACACTCTGTGTGATATGAATGGCGATGCAATCCTGCTGAATATAAAGATGCCATTGCCACAAAGAGAGCTTTCAGCATAGAAGTACACATTTATACAATCAAGAGAGCCTCAGTGCTTCTCTAAGAATGTTTGTCTTTCTCTCTTCTTTTCAATCTAGCTTTTAATGCTGTCACATCCTCACAACAGGTGAGTCTTCAATCCATGCAATGTGGAAGTCATTACTTATTGCCTCTTTTGCATTTTCATTTGAGTTTGTTTGGGTTTTTTTAAATGTCTTTTGTACTTTTGATTTTACTTTTCTTTTGCTGTGAAGAAGGAGCTTCTCCACATTCATATATCGTTAGTCCCTGATGAACACTTTGCATTTTTTTACTAAAAATGCAGAGTGTTTAATGGCAGATTTTCTGTAAAGAATAACATGTCAGGGTATTGTATAGAGCAATAGATAACAGTGTATCAACAGATTTATTGAGTTTATCTGAATGCATATTTAAAAATGCCAAATGTGCTTTCAACTCACTTCTGGCGTGTCTTTTGAATCTAATTACAATGCAACCTGGAGGGAGTTTGGAATCTGAAGCAGAAGTAATTAGTTCTTTCTTTAAAGGAAATTTGCCCTTGCTAACAAAATATGAGCCAAGGCCATTATGATTCTTGCAGTATTTAGTACATAGAAACTACTGCAATTCTACGTGAAGGTCTCCTGTGTTCGAAAAGGTTCACAATTAATGAGGATTTGCTCCTGATATAACCCTGATACCACAATGAAAACCAAATACTTCTCATTACAAATAAAATAACAGGTACAGTGACTCTTAAGGATTTCCATCCCAAATGTGGCTGGGATGGACTGCTATGATCATGATATGGGCGGTGGAATTAACATAACTCAGAACATATATGATAGCCAAGGATGGAAATTGACAGGTGTTTTCCAAGTTTTTCCCTTATTTCTCTTTTGCTGGTGCAAAACTAATATGTCATTCTTGAGACTTAATATTCATATCAGTTTTGCATACTCATCTGGGGAGCTGGACTTCTTTGTTCATGGTAGCCAACCCCCTTTTTCTTGAGATTCTCATCTAAAAAGATGGTGAACTAACATCTGAAAATAATATGGGATATACTGAGGGCTCCATTCTAAATGGTCATTGCCAAGCAGAAATAAACTAGAAGAAAAGCATCTGTTCCCAAGGACTTTGTGAAACTCTCCAGATCTGCATTTTTGATGGCTCAAGAGAAGTAGCAATTTCTCAGCCCAGCAGTATTAAACAGGATGTCACATAACAGGTGTCAAATGATCCTGGATCTATGGTTTTAAAGCTGGGGAGGGTTTGGCACAACCTGATCTGGTTGTTAATTTAATATTTTACTTGTATCCATTAAAAGAAAGAAAAAAAAATTGGGTTTTTTTTACTGATTTAGCATTCTTCATTGCTATTCTCCCCTCATTTGCTTTAATAGAAGTGCTGTTAATGTTTCCAATTCTTAAATAGGGATGTTTGATCAAACTTGGTGTCTTGTTTTTTTTTAGAAACCTTTTAGAATCATGGGTGTGCATGCCAGGTGAAATGTTTAATATTGACTAAAAGTTCATAAGGCAACATCTGGTGACAAAATAAAGCCAGTTCTGGACCAGTTGAAAATAAACATTCAGATTTTTTTGTTTTGCCCTGCCAGTCTCAGAGTGATGCAATTGATATCTATTTTTCTTTCCCCATGGTTAGTAAGGTTTCTAATGCTTCAGTGAGGTGCATTGTGAAGTCCATGTGAATAAAGCTATTTTACTTTGTTTATACATATAAAAAATTCCCCTTTTTCTTGACTGTTAGTGTACTCTTTTACTATCAGCCTGACATTTCAACTTTTCCCTTTTGAAAAACAGTCTTCTAAATTATAAAGTTTTAAAATTCTAATAAATGCTTAAAAGAGATTTTAAAGTGCTGAATGCAATGGCAATATGCATTTATTATTATTAATGCACACCAGAGGGGAAAAAGTAGTTTCTGCAGTTCTCTGGTTGAACTTTTGCACATCCGTCTTGATGGTTGTCCTCATGACACTTTACTGTCACATCCACCAAAACTGCTGCTGTCATTGGAACAGTGAGTAAAGTGATTCTATCAGTGAGTGGTCACAATGGAGCAAGCAGATTATGCAGCTGTAAGACAATCATAGAATCACAGAATGGTTTGGGTTGGAAGGCACATTAAAGATCATCTCGTTTCAATGGGCAGGGACACCTTCTACTAGACCAGGTTGCTCAAAACTCAATCCAGCCTGAACTTGAAAATTTCCAGGAATGGATAATCTACAGTTTCTCTTGGCAGTCTGTTCTAGTGCCTCCTGTTTTACAAATACCTCCATACATCTCATGTCTTACTCTCTTCATTCAGATTGCTTCTTTTTTTCTTCCTTCTGCTCTAACTGCAGTTGTTATTTCCTGCTGGACATTCCTTTTGTAAAAGTCTCGCTCTGAGTAATGTTACTAGAAATCCTTTATCATTCATTGT